TCAGAAACCAACGCCCATCATTACACTTCTTGTACTTGAAGTTCAAATTGTGTAAAATACGTTTAACTGATATTTTTGAGCCAGGGTAATTAATTTTTTCTTGCATCGCCATTAATATTTTTGCGGTCGTCGGAAATTCACCTTTATCATAAAAACTATGTATAGTTCTTCTGACAACATCGTTGTTAAAATCGTCAAGAGAACTCATTAATTTTGCACGTTTATAATTTTTTCTAGGTGATTTGAAAGCAATTTTGTTAGAAGGTCCGACTTCAAGTTCCTTTTTCGCTTCAGAACAAACTCTTTTAATACAAGCAAGACTTACGCCACATGCTTTAGCAGTCACATCACGGGTTTGTTGAAAAAATTTTGAAAGTTCTGGCTTACTTTTATCAGCAGCTATCGTCTTAAAAAAATTGTATACATGGAAAATCACTTTTTTCGTCTGAGAATGGATATCTTGATTGAATGCCATTTTAAAAATATTAACCTGTAAAAAAACTGTAAACTTCTATTGTACAATATAACTAATAATAAGGAAAAAAAAATTCAAACTTTAAAACCCGCGTTAATTACAAAACCAAAGTTTAACACAAGAAATATTATAACGCAAACCACGTTACGACTTTCACGACGATAAGAACATAACCACACAAAATTATTGTTATTATTTGTGATAACCACAGATATATACTGTGTATATCTATGGTGATAACCATGAACTAAGATATATCTTAGTTCATGGTGATAACATACCAATGAGTCAACAAAAACAAAATTACGAAAATGTGTACTAAAATGCAATGAAATACCGCCAGAAAACCATCTGCACTATAATAAAATAATAATAATACTCCCAAACGGAGAACCCCTGGTTTCACTAAAAACGGCTAGTAGGCGCGTGACGATCGCGGCCCACTTTTCGTGGACCGCACTATAAGTGGTTTTTATATTACGAAAGTTGAAGCACACTGATAAAACGGCCGCTTTTTTTTCGGTTGGCTAAACATTATTTTCTAGCTATTTAGTAGTTAGTAGCTACAGATTTCTATATTACACTATTTTGACTATACACAAATCTGTGTTACTACTGTTACTAGCCGAAAATTATTGACATTTTTATGAACTACAGTTTATTAAATTTGAAATATTTTACAGTAGTCTAGCATTTTTCATCCTAGTCTATAAAAAGTGGAGTATTGTTTTACTCAAGTCTTAACGGTGTAACACACCTACCCGATTTATTCAAATTTCAAACCAAGTGGCTGTCCATATTTACATTTAATCCTATTATATAGTATAGTGCTATCCACGACTCACGATAGAACGGTAACGTGCTCCGACCAAAATTGGTCGCCGCCGTGCAACCCCCACCCAAAACCACAAAATTGACCCGTTGCTCGGATCGCGGTCGTCGTTCGTCGTTTTCCATCGGCAACATGCTCTTGTTATACGTAGCGACTGAACAATCAGGTCGATAATTGTCGTTAATTATCGGTAATAATGAACTGAGTAGAGGGGATATTTCAGCTAGACGAGACGGAAGGAGTTCATTCTACATGCGCGAAAGCGAAACGGTACAGTTCTCTCGTGAACAACACTTTGTTATAGTTGATACTTGATTTGTTATTCCCACTACAAGAACCAGTCTTGAGAACCGGGTTGTTGAATCGATACAAATAAAGTTCACTATCACCTGCATAACCTTGTTCTTAAGGGTAGTATATTGAAGATCACAGAAATAATAGAGTACGAGTTGAAGTAATTGAAATGTTATGATTTATTTATAAGGTAAGTTAAGAAAAATTAATAAAATAGGTAGGTATATCTACTAGAATAGGGACTTTGTTAATTCTAAAAGTAGATGATTTTTTTATTTTTATTTTAATAATAAGTTGGAAATAAAGGAAACACAGAAGGTACAGCATTCAATTTCAATATTGGTCGGTCAGCATCTGGTTTAACTTAGGGATTCCAGATTTATTTTTTTTAAATACGTGACATTTTAAATCATACCTATACTTGAAATTTATAATAGTGTTATTTTTGGGAGGGGTGAAGGTACTTATGTTAGCAATTAAAATATTACAAAATTAAATATGTAATGTTTCTTATAAAATTCTTTGTAAACATTTGGTAGCTAAAATTACATATTTTGGCTTTGATGTAACATTTAATAAGTTAACACTAAATATACTATAAAATTAGTTAAACACAATCATAATCTAATAATTATTATTAATTATCATTTAATTTAGATATTATGATTTATAAATAACTTGAAATTTAAAAACCTAAATTATATGAAAAATGTAATAGTTTAAGATAATATATTATGCTTATAAATCGGCGTATGTCCAGCGGTGGACGTAAGATACCAAGATAAGTCCAGCTCAGTTCTCTCTCGCGCGACCGTTGTACAAGACGTCGCCTTTACTGCGTGTGTGCGATGTTCAGTGTTGTCGCTATTGGCCAATTTTGTTGGATACTTGTGAGCTCAGGCTCTGACCCTTGGGTCGTGACACTTGCGCAAGACCTTGTCATGCGTATGTATCTGTTATTTATTTATTTATTTATTTTATTTTACAATACGGGACGAACCCTATAATACATGAATATAATAGTAATAATAATAGTTTTAATAGTTTATGGAAACGTGGCTAGATATCAGAAAAAGAATGAAGGGTCAGTGTTGGCAATGCGCATAAGACGGATGATCAGTGAGTTCAGATAGTAGTTTGAGGAAGAGAAAGGTATATGAAATGGAACAGATGATTGTGTAAGGCGAGAGGGGACATTAAATGAGACACGGGATAGTGATTCAGGACTGTCAATTTTAGATGAAAGAAGATTGAATAGAAACGTCAAGTTTGCAGAATGACGACGATCGGAGAGGCTGCCTAAGTAAAAGAGGCGTTGGATTGGCGTGTAATTGTGAGGTGGAGAGACTATCTTTAGTTTGTAAGCAGCTTGACGGAGAAATTTTCTTTGAACCCTATCTATCATGCTACGTGCGGAAGCGGTGGACGGGTCCCAGAGAACGGAACCATACTCAAGGATGGGACGGACTAGGGAGCAGAAAAGAGTTTTTAGAGGGGAGAGTAAGTGAAAATCTGAAGAGACACGGTTTATGAAACCTAGCAGTATAAGAGCTTTACATCATATAATCTGAATATGCATATTAGGGCACAGGTTTCGTGTGAAAGTAAATCCTAAATCATTTACATAGTTATTACAGGTTGTTAAGGCGGTATTGTTTTCGGAGTAAATATGCTCGATTACAGCATTAATACGACTAAAAGTCATTACTGAACATTTAGCTATATTAAGGGCTAGCACCAAAGATTCACTCTACGCAACTAATCGCTGAAGGTCGTTTTGAAGAAGGTGACAGTCAGAGATGAATTTTATACGGAAAAAGATTTTCACATCATCAGCAAAGATAAGAAGTTTGGCATGCTGGAGGACGGAGTTTGCTGAGTTTATGAATAGAGCAAACAGAAGTGGAGAAAGAACAGCACCTTGTGGAACACCTGTGGAGGGGATAAAGCGGTCCGAAGAGGTGGAATCAACAGTTACCCATTGGATCCTATTTATAATGTATGAGCGAAACCAGGAAAGTAGTGGTTCGCCGATTCCTATAGAGTCTAGAGTCAACATAAGATGATTATGATCAACACGATCGAAAGCCTTGGAGAAATCTGTGTAGATTACATCTACTTGGCAGTTATCGCGAAAAGAATCATATATATATATATATATATGAATGTAGACTAAGGTTACAAGTAATAGTTGATCTACCAGGACGGAAGCCATGCTGCTCATCAATTAGGATATGATTTAAGGGAGAACGAATCGAATTAAGAACAAGCGTTTCAAATATTATGGATAAATGAGGGAGGATAGTTATGGGACGATAGTTTGAAACATCAGTTGAATCACCAGACTTAAGCATGGGTCTAATAGAGCCAAGTTTAAGTGCAGACGGAAAAATACCCGAGTCAATAGAACGCCTAAACAATAACCATAACGGTTCTGCAAGAACAGATCGAAGTTTGTACAAGAAATCACCCTGGATACCATCAGGACCAACAGATTTAATATTTCGAAAGGAACATAAGCATTTGTAGACGTCACTGATCGAAAAATAGGCATTAGACGGGAGCGGAAAGAGGCAGATAGGATGTAATGTTTGGGATGGAGTCGGTGAAGGCTGGGTGAACACGGAGGAAAAATATGCAGCAAAAAGGTAAGCAGTATCGGAAAGAGATGTACTTTGTTTACCATGTAGTGAAACACATGAAGGTATAGATTGAGAAGAGCGGTTTTTTCTACTAAAACTCCAAAAGTTTTGTGGGTTGTGTAATAGGGAGAATTCGGTAAGTGAGATAAAATTGCGGTAGCATTGTTTGGAGATAAATTTAAATTTAGCGCGAAGAAGTGAAAAATGCTTGTAATCTGATAATAGTTGGGATGACTTAAATTTGGCATGATAATATATTATTCATAATTTTATTTGTTCTCTTCGACCGACGTTTACTCCTCTTCGGTGGTTGATTACAATTACGATATCGTGTTAAAAAAACACGATTTTCGAAGAACTACGCTGTCAGACGTCCAGTATAATATTAAATAAAATATTCATCGAAACGTACACGAAGCTGTGATAGTGAAACCAGTTGTTAACGTAATATTTTTAAACACATGGATCAGAACAGTGGATATTTTTAGCAATTATTATTGGGCGACATTAAAAAAAAAAATTTCACGTGACACATCATAATCAAAATCAACATATATGTCTAAAAACACTTTTCAGAATTAATATACAAAACCTTACCTATATCTAACAATACCATTAAAAATCACAACACATAAACAAGTACAAATAATTTATATGGTAAACTTTTTCTTTTTAATTAAAAAAAGGGATCAACAACATACAGTTTACAGATTATTATATAAGTATAAAAAACAACATATTAAAATAAATAGAAGAATTAGCTTGTAGGAACCAGGACTAAAATAAAATCGAAAACAATTTGTAAATATTTATTAGAACGACTGATTACCAGATGAAAGATGTCGCATTGTCGCATAGAATAAATTGCTTCTTGCATACAGTATTATCTATGAGTACCTAAGGTGATCGGTTACACGGGTTTTCCATTGTAGACAATTTCAATAATTATTTGTACTTCCAAATTCAAATTATCGAACGAAATAATATAAATATAAATAACAAAATTAAACACAAGAAATACCTAATTATATAATAATTTTAAAAATCGTCATTTTTAGAAATAATTTTTATCGCCCAATAATTAATATATGGTCTACTAGGCGATAAAAATTTTTCTCTAGGCGATATTTTTGTCGCCCAGTATATTAGTTAAAATATCCACTAGATCAGAATTCAGAGGTCAAGAGCTCGGCACCTATAAACATCATTATTTTATAATCGGCCCCAGTGGTCATACCATAGACATATAATAGAATAGACCGCGAATAGAAAGAGAACTACAAAGCCAAGATATGTGCGAGAGAGAAAGAACCATAAGAGGTTTTCTCATGGATGAGTTAATAAAACTGTTTTTTTTTCCAGTTGAATTATATTATGAGGCGGAATCACGATGTAGATAATATATATAAAAATTACTAATTATTAATTAGACACAATGACAATTTACAAGTTTAAAAAAAATATATTTATAATTTAAACATTTTAAATTTTAAAGTATATAATATACAAATTATTACAAATTACAATTAATATATTATAATATGTGTTTTGTACAAATGGTATAATAACAAAAAAAAAGGTAAAACAATATGTTAATTTTATGTTAATTTTATTGATGTTTAAAAAGTATTAATTTTGTGTAGAATGTTCTAATTTTTTGATCTATTGAATTTGTTGATGAATTAATATGATGAAGTCTTAGTGTAATATAAATGTGCATAATTAGTTTTAACAGCTGTAGGAGATGATTATTGAAGGGTTCTTGTTCGAGAAAATGATTTGATAATGAGATAAAATATTTATTAATATTAATCTTTCTCATACATTCAATTGTAATCCTCTTTACAACGTTTGACCCATCAATTCTTTGGTATCCACGAATTACACGTTCAGCTATTTTACAAATTTCAATGATATCTGGATTCGGTATAATTAAACCACCTCTATTTTTACGTCCAATTAGAGCAGGTCCCGATTCTTTTGTTCCCAAAGATTTTTCACAAACTGTACATAGAATTTTCTTCTTTATTTTGTAAACAACAAATCCTGCTATGTATGTTACAACATCATTAAGGTAATTTCTGTGCTCATAAATGTCTAATATATCTTCTGTTTCAATTATTTCAGTTCCTGCAGCACATAACAAATCTAGCATTTCAGATTGCTCATCTTCTTTTTTTGGTGGAGCGCTTGATATTCTTAGAATACTTGTGTCGTCTAATGCTAAAGCGTTGGCAGTCGATGGACATTTAACTTCAGCATTGATTATAATGGATTTGTATGCAGCTTCAAACTGTGCTACAGTGGGATTATTATTGAAACCTCCCTAATATTTTTTAAGTTTTTTAATAAAAAAGTTAGTTTTTTAAGTTTTTTTAATAAAAAGTTAGTTTTTTAAGTTTTTTAGAAAAAATTAAGTTTTTGATAAAAGAATCATCCTGTATTATGAATAAAAAAATATTTACCCGTGAAGTTTGACATTGTCTGTCTTAGCAGAACCACAACTATAACATTTTTGAACCATTATATCAAAATGATCAAAATAAAAAGGCTCAATAGGCAACTAAAAAACTCACTGTTCACGTAAGAACCAGAATATGTTCATCGACAATTTGTTATTGTTTATTGTTATTTGTTATGGTAAAAAAATGATAATATCACTATCACCATTATTTTGCCATGGAGTAAATAGTTTTTTTTTCCATGAGAAAACCTCTTTAGAGTCTTTCTCACTCGCACATATGTTGGCTTCTATAATTTCTACATGTAATATGTGTGGTTCGCGGTCTATTCTATTATATGTCTATGGTTTTTTATAGTATTAATAGTTTCAAATAATTTATTAATACACTACCCAGCAGTTTTCTTAAATTTTTATTGAACCTCTCAAGTCTTGTAGACATAGTTGTCGAGTTCAATTTACGATTGAATGAAAATCAAACGTGCATAATGTTTTATTTTCAATCAATATGAGTGGAAAACGCGGAAAATTAAGTGGTGCCGAATTCCATAATGAGTATAGGAAAAAAAAATAAGAAACACAAACTAATTATTTCTCGAAAACCTAAAATTCAAAATTTCTTCAATAAAGACAATAAGGTAAAAACTAACATAACATAATAAAATAATAATATTGAAATAACGGGATTAAAACAGGACCATCTTCTAAAAACGGGATAAAAAGCGTCCCGTTCGAAGTTTGTCAGGACAACGGGACATGATGACCAAAAACGAGACTAGTCTAGTGTCTACGCGATTAGTTCGAAATTGTTCAATTATTCATGGTTCACGTTTAGTATTTTGTTATTTATTTTTTTTTTTTTTTTTGCTATAAAAATTATAATTATATTATTATTGTACAGTGTACACAACATTTGTATTTTGTATACGTAGTAGGATCAAAAAGTTCCCGGAATTTCATTTTATTTTTTTATGTATACAATTTAAATATAAATCTACTTAATCTCCTTCAAAGTATCGTCCTTCAGTACAGACACACTTACTCCAACGACTTTGTAACTGCTGGAAACATCTTTGGTATCCCTCTATTTAGGCCAGGCAATAGAGACAACATTTTTGAAAATGGCGGAAAAAAATCCCAACCAAGATTTTTTTTTTTTTAAAGTTTTAATAAACTGGTGACGCACCGTTCGGTTACGTATTGCTTGCTTTTGCGTTGTTTTCATAACCATCAAATACAACAATTGCATCATTAAAAATGTTTTCTACAAGTTATATAGACTCCACAAATTAATTCAAATGTTTGGTTCATTGCCAAACAACTCTATATCAGAATCTCCATCAATAACATACTTTCCGTTAGTTATATTATTTTCTAAAGGTATTGGTTGTAGATATCTACAATGCTGATTTTGGTTTTCTTATGTTCATCAAATAATGTGGAAGATTGCAGCTCAAATGAAGGTATGATAAAAGTTCATCATCATTTTTAAGATTGCAATTCGTTGAAACAGTAATGCTGCTGGGTTAATTTAATTATTTCTTCATTAATCTTAACACCAAGTTGAAGCTAAGTTGTAACTGCCAGCCTCTTCAGTTTATATCATGGAAGTTATTACCCACCATTGAGTTTACTAGATCAAGACCAACTTCATATGCTTTAACGACAGTGCATTATCGTCACTGAAATTCCACTAGCAATTGACACTAACACAGTTGGTGACTTTGAAAGGATAATTAAGCGAAACCATTGAAATTTTCAACATCACTGTCATCTCTAGATATTCTAGAATCCGTAACTCAACATGCTGTTCTAAGCTTACATTGAGTAAGATTTACGAACTATATTTTGACTATCATAATATACTCTCATTTTGCGTACCTCTTCTTTTAAATTGCCGCTGGAGTTCAATTCAAAAATTAACAAAACAGTGTTTGTGATAAATAACATCGCTTCTACAACATCAATGACATTAGCTAAACGTTTTTCAGCCTCTTTACCCCATACATCATTTCGTTTTGCTTGTTCAACTATAGAATGACCTACGTTTAAAGTACTTACTGTACATACAATCTCTATTCTCAACAGGCTTTTCTTTTAATATCGAAAATTGTCTGGTATAATTTCAAAACAAAAAGGCCTTACTTACATTTTAGTTGAAGCGACTGATGCTGAGATGACCGTACTTTATTTTGATATAGGTGTAGGAGGCGCTGACAACTGGTGAACGCAGTTGAAGCATAACGTTTTAAGTCTTGATGCTACTTTACGCGGTGTACGATTTTCATTCAATATGTTACCATTATCGTGCCACTGACATTATTAAACTTGTGTCATCACGCATTTGACCGCTTTACGGGACTTATTAAACCCTTTTGTTTAACTTCAATAGGATTGCCAGGTCTTCTTACAAATATAACGCACCATTAATGACATTTGTGTAATATTTATAATTTTAAAATAAAGTATGAACTAATAGATTTAGAACAACGTAATATTCACTTCAAATCCGCGCACAGACGTTAAGATTTCAACTGACTCGTTAGGACTGATGTGCATTTTCTGCCAGTACCTACCATCAGTATATGACGGGAAATGTGTAGAATAGTTACAATTTAACAATAATATTTGGCACAAACTAGTTTCTTATCGCTTATAAATACTATGAATTTATGACGTGCCGTACAGAATTTCAGATAAAAATATGTTACATCGCAATTCGCGACGACCAGTGCAATTCTTTACCTTATTTACTATTTTATTTGTGGTATGTTTTGTTATGTTATTATAATTGAATCGTTCACTTTAGTTTGTGAAACACATAAATATATTCAATACAGTATAAAACCTATTTAACACGGAAGAAAATGTAATAATAAATTTTCAACTATCAATTTTATACAAATATATCTTGCCAAATATTTGTTTAAATGTGAAAAATAAATAAACTTTTTGTAAATTGTCTAATAAATAACTTTTATTTAGGCTTTTTGATATTTGTGTAATATTTTGAGACTATTCAAAAGCTCATATTACAAACTTTCATGAACTTATAAAAAGCTCAGTCAATGAGGACTTTAGTGGTATAGGCATATTTTG